ATAGTTGTAAAGAGATACCGGCGCAGCCTGGGGGGGTTATTGCATGCTGCTGAAATGTGGGATGTTTATATGAAACAGGGTGACTGATGATGTGACATCAGTGTGTGAGTGCAGCGTTGGTTTAAAACACATCGTGCACATGGCAACCCCGCAGAACCGTGTGTGTAAGAACTCACAAAGTAGCAGCTTGAATCATGCACTGCAGGCAGAGCTGCACAGGAAGTTGTAGACGGATCCTCAAGGGCTCCGTCTAAACCAGGGCTATTCAACTAAACTGCTCAGGGGGGCCACAGTTACTGAAAGCCAAGAGCTCAGGGGCCGGACAGCCAGCAATTATTGTCATTAAACAAAATTTTATGGTTTAAAATTTAGTTTTATTTAAAATGAACCCAATGGTAGGCCAAACAGAGGTCACCTATGGTCCTGATTTGGCCCCGGGCCTCCAGTTGAATAGCCCTGGTCTAAAGCCTGGAAGTAATTACACCGAGAGATTACTCTAAAAAACATCTGTGTTGTTTATTTACAAAGTTTAATATCATGGGGACAAATGTTGAGCTAATTTCTGAAGTGCATTTAAAAAGTCTGCAAAATAATAACAATACAAGAAATCTAATCTTTCTGATAAGATGAATAAACTTGTAACAATTCAGGGGTTTGATTAAAATTATGATTTACTGTAAATTACATTAAACTGAGTTTATCAGCTGAAAGAAACAAATTATTACCTCGAGGGTCTATGAAAAATAAATTACAAACAAAAAACTTGGGGAGACCGTCAAGTCTGGAGGGAGTCTTTGCCTCAGGTGGGGGAGTAATGAGGGCGTTGCTTCGGTCGATCAAAGTGAAGAAAGACTTGAGACCAAAAGGTAAAACTCTGGATTTATTGAAATACGTTCAAACCCTCACCTCATGAGGTTTTGTCATGACTGAAAGAACTTCCTTCATGGGGGGGCCGGGCTCAGCCTCGGAGAGAGGGTGAGGAGCATCTGCTCCTCTGCAGCGAAAGGAGTCAGTTGAGGTGGTTCAGGTGTCCGATTAGGATATGACCTCCCTTTTAAGGCAGACCCAGAACAGTCTGGAGGGAGGTTAGATCCTCTCTGTCCAGGAAAAACCTCGGGGTTCTCAGGAGGAGCGGGAGAGCCCCTGGGGAGAGGGAGATCTGTTCACTCCTGGACCTGTTTCCTCTGCGACTCGAAGATGGAGATGCAGATAAAAGTCCTGCACTAGATGTAACTTATGTATGAAACAGGACTGAACATGTTTCTTCTTCTGCAGGAAGCTGAAAAACTGCGGACAAAACTAAAGTGTTCAATAAGATTAAAGTTATGGTTAAGTTAACGCAACGTAGAGCTCAGTCTGAGTGAGAACGTCAGCTGATGTGATAAAAGAAGTTGTTTTGTGGAAACGGTTCATTGAAGAGTGCAACACTGAGTCTTCCTCCTGCCATAAAGATAACAAGGAAACATAAATATCTTTGATGTTGCTCTGAAGAGAGACGCCCGTACGAACACTGTCCATTCTGCACGATGTAAACAGTCAGTGCTGAATATTTTACACCACATCTGTCCAGAGAATAATCAGATTTACTTTATTTAACGCTGAAGTAAAAACACAGCTTCTCATACAGCTGCAGTCTGAAGAATTAAACTTTTGCTTAGGAAAACTTATTCAAAAGTATTTTTAATGAACATAAATAAAAAAAAAGGTACAACATTAACATTAAAAAAGCTGACGTGATTAAAAAACAAACAGATTGAAAAGGTCTGGCACCACTCTCCTGTTTAAAATACGAGTTGTTATAACAAAGGAAAACTAAAACCAGACTTAAAAGATATTTAATTTGCCACTTAAGTCTTCTGATTCTTGGGTTTAATTGTTAAATTTGAAAGGTCGCCTGTTGGATTGTTTAGTTTTATCCTTGAAAATCTGATTTATTATACAAAAACCTTTGTGGATAGTTTATTCTGTTTATTTTGATTAAACATATGCAGTCTTCAACAGGATTGTATATATTTTTTTTATTACGCTGTAAACTTCAAGATTTGTGTTAAATTAATTTAAACTCTTTGCAAATTAAAGTTAAGTACAAGCTTTAGATTTAAAATCACATTCAGTTCAAGTTTAAATTTATTATTGCAGACATAAATCTTACTACACTGATGCTTTTTCTTTAAAAGTCAAACTTGTTAAAAAAAATTCAAGTAAAGCAAATAACAAAAATTATGCAAAATGACTAAATATTTATAATTTCCTGCTGATCCATCCAACAAATATCCACTAAGAATGCCCAAACTTGTAAAATATGATGTTTTTTAAATCTGAAGTTCCTCTTATTTGGACTAACTCATAAAACGAGTGGTGCTGAAGAAACAAAAGGTAACTCTTTGTCTTTGCACCCCTTCTTTCTGTCTTCACGTTGTTTCCACAGGTGTCAGAAGACATTTCATGGCCCGTGCAGATGTGTGAATACGCCACACCCGCTCCGAGTGCTAATTTACTCTTTTAGGTTTAATCTCCCTGCGAGTGGCTTTTCTCGCCTTTTTAATTAGGCTACGGGGAGTCGACGCCGACGTTAGACACAAAGACATGGAGACGCACAGTTCCTGCTACCTTCTACACCCTCATCCACTGAAATGTCCCAGACTTGAGACACACTTTGGTAAGACAGTCCTCACCGGGCCTCTGTGGGCCTCCTTCACACTCCGACTCCTCTCGGCTCAGACAGGACGGGAGGAGGAAGAAGAGAAAAATAACTGAAGGCTTTTCCACTTTGGTAGATATTCTCATTTATCACATTTTTTTCCATTTCTAACCCATTTGTTAAGTTTAGGCAGCACTAAGAAACTTCAGATTTTGCTAAAACAAGCGGCAGCAGAGAACGGTTTGAAAACATTTTTTATAATTAATTAGATTTTTCAGCACATTTATGATTTAAACTGGCAAAAACAAGTGGTATGCTGTTGTCCCCAGTCTCTGAGGGCTTTGAACAGTGAATGTTTGTAGTTGTCCAGGTCAGTACTTTTCGGGACTGAAACTGAACAGGGAATGCAACTAAACCTAAGTGTTTTTAGTGCAAGATATTCAGGTGTGTAAAGCCCTATTCGCACGAGATTAGTTTTACCCAGGGACCACATGTAATAAATAAATTACTCCCCAAAGCCTGCTTTTTATGTGGCACATTCGCATGGGACAACCAAAGTCTGAGATTTAGCTGAAATTTACGGACATCTTCCAGATATGATGTTAATGCGTAGCGTTGTCACGACCGGGCCGGTCCATAATAATGTGCTTAATGTGCCGGTCTCAGGCTGTGATGTGGTTTTACAAATCAGCTAAAAAAAAAACTAAAGAATGCACAATATAACATTGTGTTAATCTACTTGTTGAGGAGGAAGCAGATCTGACCGGCTGGTTTAAATAAGAGGTTAAAAAAAAGCCACGTTAAGCTCAGATGGACAACCTGTCACCGGCCGTGCGCGTGAGCGTCCACGCGTCCGCTGACCCGCCGGTTGAAATGGACTTGCGATCTGTCCAGGGTGTCCCCTACCTCTCGCACAGTGATGGCTGGACATGGGCACCACCAGTGAATCCCGCTACCCAAAAAGGAAGAAGCGGGTAAATATAATGGATAGATGGGTCAGTTGATCATGTGCGTGTCTCTGCACCTCCTGTCATCTGCGGTGAAGGAAGTAGCAGTATAAAAGCCAAAGCGAAAAAGAAAAATACATTAAAAAAATTAAAAAGCCGGAGCGAGCAGCACGTTCATTTAAAATAGCCTTGTTCTATAATTTTCCAAATGATTTTGCTTGAACAAAAACAAAAAGCACCTCATTACGTATCGGATCCTGAACATTTCTGTCCAAATCACAGAGATGCCTATTCGCATTGGATTAGTTTTACCACAGGACCTCGGACTTCAGCAAAATATAGTAGGTAATTTGCGGGGTAATTTTTACCGTACAAATTACTGACATGGCCGATTTGCACGGGACTAACAACACAAACAATCTCCGTAATTATTACAAATAGCATGTGGTCCCTAGATAAAACTAATCCCGTGCGAAAAAAATAGGGCTTCAATGTATACAAGTGTGGAGAAGAACAGAGGGAGGTTGTTTTTTGCTTGTCTGAGGTGGTGCAGAGTGATGGATCCTGGTGAGTGAAGGGATCCATTTTATCCACCACCAGGTACAACGAAGGAGCCGGTGGGATAACCAATGTTGGCTTTGGCCACCATAGATTAATCTTTGGCCACCACAATCATTTGAGGAAACTATACTTTTAAGTAATATAAAACCTAGAAAGTATATTTTTCTCAAATGATCACAGTGGTTGGTTTACATGGCAGTAGCCATCTTGGATTTTGATGTGGCATCTCAATGTTCAATACTGACCTTTCATACACTTATATGCAGCCGCACACTAAAATGGAAGTCGGTACCTCACTTATTTTTCAAGTTATTGTGGTTACAAGACAGGAAGAGGATACTTCCAAGTCCACTCTTAGCTCCACAACGGTAAACAAACAAACAAATTCACAAAAAGTCTGTATCTGGTTCCAAACTAACTTGTTTAGTTTTGTATAATCAGTATTGTATTGTATTGTATTGTATTGTATTGTATTGTATTGTATTGTATTGTATTGTATTGTATTTGCAACATCAGTTCTAGAATTGTGCCGCTCGGGGTGGCTGCATGTTGGAGTAGTTCTGTTACAGTCATGTTGAGTTACTGCTTTTGGAAACTTTAATTCCTCTTTTTTCTGGATGTAAATCACTCTTTTCAGACGATTACTTCCTCTGGTATTGGATGCTGTGCAGCTGGAAAGATTTTTACTGAAACCTTTTTACTTTTGGGCGTTTGTTATGATATGTAACCATGGCAACAAGGTGCTTTTTTAACAACCAGGAGTAGCTGATTAACATCTCAAAAGCTCAAATACCGCAACTACAGCCCCAAATCCCAAATGAGTTGAAAAAGAGGTGACGTGGACAAATTACCGTCAACCTGGTGGCGGTGCTTGAGTGCCTGACCGCCGGGATCCTGGAGTTGGTGGGAAACTCTGCTCGTGACAACAGGAGGACCGGGATCATCCCCCGCCACCTTCAGCTGCCTGTCCGTGGTGACGAGAAGCTTGGCAGACTGCTGGGAGGAGTGACCATTGCACAGGGAGGAGCGCTGCCCAGCATTCAGGCAGTCCTGCTGCCAAGGAGACCGAGAGACCCGCCGGATCTGACAGCAAGCTGGATCAGGGTGGACGGATCGGTATCTGTGGCCAGATTCTTCAGATTCGCTGCAAGAGATACTTCCTGCCCACAGCTATCAGCACAGCATCTATAACAACTCTTCAATGAATCCAGGATGATGAGCTACGACAATGCTTAATTTCCCTCTGGGATTAATAAATTATTTTTGAATTGAATTGAATTTAAATGTTGGTTAAATATCCTTTCATCATCTACTTACAAAAAAGAAGTCACACAAAGATAGGAGAAGATTTTTAACCCAGTTAACTTGCGAGGGCAGACAGTCATGAAACACTTTGACAGATGTTTAAAGTTACATGCTTGGAACCTCGTCGTGAGAATCTGCATCCGGACAGTGAGTAGGAAGTGTTTTATACATGCTTATCAGCATGATGACCTCGCTTCTTTGACTTGGAGACATCAGGTGCCTGTAGGCTCTTCCCTGAGAGAGAAAAAGAACTCTGCTCCTCACACACATGGTTCAACATTCATTTAACTTTAGCACTTATAAACATCCATAAACCTTGACCTAAATTCCCCTGACATTAATGTTCCATCACTCGCCTACAACCTATTTTACATGTTTTGATCAGTAGCCTACCGAAGTGTTCAAACATAAAAAACAGCTCTGGTTTGCATTTTTTAAGCTCTTTGGCCCCAGCCTTCATTTACAAGTACATCTACTGAAACACCACTTGTAGCAGCAATAACACGAGATCAAAACTCCTTTTTCCTTCTTTCTCCTCCCTCCTTTTCTTCAACAAACAAACCAAAGATTTCCCCAAACAAAACGGAGCACTAAAAGTGGAACTGCAATAACAGCAGTAGTGATGGTGGCTTGTTGTGGTGGAAATAAGAGGGCACTTAATTGGGGTCTGATAGTCTAATGGGCAACCTGTCTGATTACCAACTCTGCACATTGGCTTAAATTAGCCCACTGATGAGAAGCCAGGGGATTCAATTATGCTGGGGAAGAAATAAGGGGCCCTAATAGGCCACTGTATCAGGAAACATGGGACTGGGCAGGGCTAAAGTGCTGCTAATTGGTTGTTTAGTTGGGGAAAAGTTGAGCCTGTAGCTAATTAGAGATGGTGACATATTTGGAGAGCCACCAAAACAGGCGACGCATGGAGGGGTGGAGAGGCAAAGGAGGAACATGAGGGTCCCTGGCACGGCAAAAGGGGGGCAAAGGTCGCGTTGGAGATCTCAGAAGTGCACTTCAGCCAATGAGAGCGCGGATCAGGGAAAACATGTTGGTGCTGTGGAGTACCGTTGCCTCGGAAAGGGTCACAACAGGGCACGATATGGTGAAAGTGAAAATTTGCAGTCTGCTCTCGCCTCTCTATCTGCTCTAATAATTATTTTTACTTTTCTTTTTTAAGTTATTTTGACTCATACTTTTCACCAATAACTGCTGCTATGTGTGTTTCTTTCTCATCTTGTGTAGATTAGCGGTGTGCCACAGCTGGATGAGTGTCCTAATACCACCGTCCCAAACACGAGAAGGCGCCCTGCCTCACGCCATTCACATAACACATTGTATGCACACTTTATTCATAAAACAGACACTGAAGCTACAAGTACAGCAGATATTTCTTGTTTTTAATAGTTGTAAATCCCTTCAGAGTATCTAAAAACAAAGAGTTTATGTAAGCGATTATCTAATTCACGAGGGAATCTGTGTAGTGAATCAAAACAAAACCGGGACCGCAGCACTCAGGGAAGAGTTTCTCATTAGCTGCTGAAACCAGCTCAAGACAGAAAAAGCAATATTAAAGGGAGTTAAAAACACATTTTTAAGAGGCTAAAACAGCAGCTGGACTGTGGTTATTATCTTCCACTTGAACAGCCATCTAAATGCCATGATCAGAAGAGGCGCTTGTTAAAAACAGATTTCCGTTCTTCGGCTGTGCCCTACATAGCCATCTGCAATGTTTCAGAACACTGCAACATAAGCACAAACATAACCTAACTGTGTCACCGCAACACCAGGGAGCATACATCATGCGCCGTCAATCTGCCTCAAGTCCTCCGACGGCGACACGAGCCGTCCGGATGCTCGAGAGGAGGCAGAGTTCTGACCCAGTCTGGCAAAGACACCGCTTGTCCCGGCGTCATTCATCACGGGGAAACAAAGTCGTCTGAGATGACCTGAAGGAGGCGAAAAACTAAATGTAGGCAAAAACCTACAGTGTCTACTCCGACAGCACCTGTCAGTCACGACTCTGGACAGCCGATAAATATCAGAGCGGAGACCCTCGGACCGACGCCAGGAGGATGAAAGGCGAGGACGAGACGAGAGAGCGTTTGCTGTGTCTGATGTGTGATGAATGCAGCCAGTTGGGAGAGTTTTCATGCTCATTGGAGCAGGTCATTACGCAGGAAATGCTGCTTGCTGGTCCCAGACCGGCCCTGGATTGGTTTCTGAGATGTATACAACTGACGAGCGTGTGTTCAGGTGTGTGTTTTCCTTTATAAAATGCACAGCTAACCCCAAAAAGACTCACAGATCTACTGTTGCATGTCTCCTGGGGGACAAACATCCAGCATCTGTTCCTCAACTCTCATACTTGAACAAGACAACATACAGAAAGTGGATGTTAATGAGTAAAAACTGGATATTAAAGAACAATTAGACGGTTTTATTATTCCCAAGTTCTCCAATGAACTCTGCAACATTCAGCCAAATGTTCAGGTTTTACGTTCAGAGCTGTGTCAGGGTATCCAAACTGATTTCTAATTAGGTTTGTAAACTCACAGAACAAAAACGACCACGGATGTGTCATTTGTATGTAATCACAGGGTTCTTACACAACTTCCACTTTGTATTTTCAGACTATAATTTTCTCATGTTGCATCTTGAGCCTTCATGTAATTTTTTTTTTAAAATAATAACAAAAGAACAATTTCAGTACATCTTTGTACATTATCCATAATATTCTGCAGCTCATCACTTCAGCTTCATACTCTTCATTTGCAACGATAACCTACTGTCTCAGCCTCAGTTTCACAAATCGAATGGTGCTAGTTTTATACTGGTTTAAACAGGCCCGGTAGTTCAGCAGACGTGAGCACTTTGAAGCGTTTTAGTGTCTTAAAGCAGCAGATCGTGGCTGTCCTCGATGCACTGTCCACAACATCAGAAACAAAAGTGACAGAAAGAGAAGAATACGTTTCAACTGGGCTTTACTAATTAAAAACAGATGCAACCATGTTTGACTCATCACAGCAAGAAAAGATTCAACTTTTCTGACACTCCCATCCTTCATTTATGAAGGGAAAATTATGACAGATTGTTCTATTTCGTATAGGCTTCGCCCTTTAAGACTGTAGCTAGTGGGTGTATCCCTAGGCGCGCAGCACTGAAAACTTTAGTCCACGCCCACCTGCTGTGTGGGCCTTACCCCCGGTCCGTATAAATTACGGTGAGACCGGGTAATCGGCTCCCATTTTTTCTTCAGCCAGCTTGCTAAAACTGTCAGAAGAACGAAGAAGGAAAAGTTGTCCAGCTTTGACCAGCACAACCTTTGCTAAGGATGCCCGAGTCTCCGCCACGCCAACCTCTTGCCGTCAGGGTGAGCTCTTCCTCCCCCAGGAGAAGCAGACGAGCAGCATTGTTCAAGGTAAGCGCCGAGGAGTGCTTTTCCGTGGCGGGCCGCTACCCGCTGGACGACGCCATTGCCGTTTCTAACGTTTTTTTCCAGAGGTAATCGAATGATTTCCTCAAATAAGGAGATGTTAGCAGCAGCCCCACTGAAAGTTTTTCCTTGGAGGGCTGCTACCTGCTGGACGACGCCACCGCCTTTTCTAACGTGCTTTTTTTCCTCGCGGTAATCAAATGATTTCCTCAAAAAGGCGATGTTAGCAGCATCCCCGCTGAATGTTTTTCCGTGGAGGGCTGCTACTCCCTGGACGACGCCACTGCCTTTTCTAATGTTTTTTTTCTCGAGGTGAATTGGATGATTCCCTCGAAAAAGGCGTTGTTGGCAGCAGGTCCGCTGAGTGTTTTTTTCTGTGGCGGGACGCTATGCGCGGGACGACGCCACCGCCTTCTTTGACGCAGAATCACGAAGTGAAAGGTGTACGGAGACACAGAGCGGTGTCACATCCACTAGCTTCACAGTGAGACCTAATGATGGTCCTGCACGCTCTGATCAAAGCACATTCTGAGCTTTTAGATCAGGTTTCACTTAAATTCTGTCATTAAAACAGCCCTGCTGTTAGTTCTGACGTTGGCAAAGAGAGTGTTTGTTTGCTCTCTGTTACTTCTTCATGTCTCAGAATTCAAGCTGACGGCAGTTCAGCTGTACTGCGTTTTAACTCTGCTCTGAAAAACATCACAAGCTCATTCAGATAGAGAGTGATAACCTTGGATGGGTTTTATCCTCTTCCTTATAATTCTGAGGCTGAAGCAACATCTCACCTCCTTCTGTCCCATGCGTGCATTTTTCATGTTATGTGGCGCACATGGCCGCACAGCGCCGTTTTCAGCGTATGTTCGTGCATTACTGTGACATATACATACATACATTGTATGTATACATTACATATACATGTACCTATATGTGTGTATAT